ATGCGGCTGGCTCTGGGGTGGGGCATCTGGGCAGCTGAGTATAACGGTGACCATCTGTCTGATGCTGAGATGTGGGTGGTTCTGGGTGGGTGACAGGGCTGGGTATAACAGGATCTCCGATGCATCTGGCTCTGGTTGGGGGGGGGAACCTCCAAACGGCCTGCCACAGTGCTGGAGCTGGGCCCAGCCAATCAGGCGGCATCCAGCCATGGAGCTGCAGCAGGAGCACTGAGAAGATGCACCAGTGTTGGCATGTACTGATTGGCTCCCGCCCAGGACCGCCCCCCCCCCCAGGGCTGGACAGGGCCTGCAGGGGGGTGGGGCTTTGCAAGGGGTCCCATCCACCCCATGGCTCTGACTAACTCTGTGACATCTAGAATATCCCTTCCAGCCCCACGTCTCTGTGATCTCTAGGAGGTCCCTTCTAGCCCTGCAGCTCTGTGACCTGACTCTATGACCACCACAGGTCCCTTCTAGCCCAATTTCCCTGTGCCCTCTGACTCTATGACCTCTAGGAGGTTCCTTCCAGCCCCATCTCTCAGTGCCTGTGACTGTGACCTCCATGGGTCCCTTCCACCCCTGCTTCTCTAGACCTGGGGAGGACGTCTGAGGACACGGGAAGACGTGCAGGAGCTTGGGAGACATCTGTCTATGTTCTTCTGTGCTCCGCAAGTGCCCGGGCCAGTCGAGGACACGGGAGAATGTATCAAACCTTCTTGCATGTTCTTGGATGTTCTTAGCACGTCTAAGGACATGGAAGAACATGGCAGGACATAGAAAAGCTTTTAAAGTGTCCTTAAACGTTCTTCCATGTCCACTGACGCTCTGGGCACAGAGAAGCAGGTCTGATTATGTTCTTGTCTGGTCTTCCCTGTTCTCGGTCTCGAGCCGATTTTAGACATTCTGAGTGCGTGGGAGCCCATGTCCAACCTTCCTCCGGGCACTTAGCTGTTCCTGCTCCTGCTCTGCCATGTGCGCAGATGTCCTTTGAACACATGCAAAGGCTTTGCACGCACGGGGCCCAGCTTTTCCCTGCCCGCGGCCCCAGGCACCCATCTACCCTGACCCTTGCAGGTTTCCTGCCATGAGGCCTAGATGCTAATTGGCTATTTTCTGTTCCCCCCTGGGCACTACTGATTTCTCCTTCCCCCCCTGCCCCAGACTCTGGGCTGGGGGGGCTCTGGCCTGAGTGGAGACATCCTGGAGGCAGGGCTAGGAGCCTGGACACCTAGGTTCTCTCCCCTCTTCCCTCCAGGTTGTGTGGGGGGAGGGGGGGCACAACACCAAGATGATAGGTTTGCTCCTAGTTGGGGAGGGGGAGCTGGGACCCACGTCCCTAACCCCCCTGGTTCCCTCTCTCTGCAGCCTACCACAGCCGGTGCGTGGACCCGTGGCTGACACGGACACGGAAGACCTGCCCTGTGTGCAAGCAGCGGGCACTGCACAGCCCTGATGACTCAGACTCTGAGGGCGAGGAGCACGGGGGGCCGGACCCCCCACCTGGTGACGGCGACCCCCCCTCTGAGACCACCCCCCTGTTGTCCCCTGCCGCCCCCTCCTTTGGCAGCCTGGACCCTGTGCCCCCTGGCCCTGTCCTGGTTTGACCCCCCTACAATGGGGGGCTTTTACCCCCCCATACCCAGCTGGGGGTGCTTTTAAACCTACTTATACAAGGGAGGGGGCTTTTAACCCCCCCTTGCTGGGGGGAGCACTCCTAGGTTCCCCATTCCCCTGAGTGTCCTGGGTGGGCAGGGCTGTGTGTGCCTGAGCCCCCCACCCGTAGACACATGGATTCTCCAGGCAGCCTCCCCAGCAGGTGCTTGGGGGGCCATGCGGCCCCCCCCCCATATGAATATGGAGATGGGGGGGCAGTGCTGCCCCCTTCTCCCACCCCCAAGGCTATAACATAGTGCCTTCCCCAGGTCTGGGGAGGGGTCACATGGAGTCCCCCAGGGGCAGGTACAGGGCAGACAACTATCAACTCTATAAACACCCTCTTGATATGGGTTCCAATTGCCCACTCATACTGGTCCCATTTATTAACCTCTACTGGTCCTAGTAAACACCCCCCACAGCCCCATCAACTGGTCGGTCCCAGGTGCCTGGTTATACTAGTGCCACTGGCCCATGCCTCCTCCCCCCCCCCCCCTGAGTTCCATGTTGCCCAGTTACCAACTTCCCTCACCCACCATACTGGTTCCAGTTAACCTCCCTCACCCACCATACTGGTCCCAGTTGCCCCATCATATGGGTTCCAGGGAGTGCCACCCCTCCCTCCCCCCACCAAACTAGGCTCAGTTGCTGGGCCATACTGGTCCCAGTTACCACCCTTCCCTAATCCAATTACCCTGCCACCCCCCACAGGCCCACACGTGTCTCCCATGATAACTGACACCCCCCCCCCAGGTTTGTGGGCTATTGGTTGGGGGTTTCTCACACCTGGATCCCTACTTGCAAAGCACACCCCTCCCTCCAAATGTTTTTATGTTGCCAGGTTTTAAAGCTCCCAGCCTGGGGGTGTGGGAGAGGTGTCTCTCCTTCCCCCCCCACCCCCCATCATCAGAAGGTAATGGGGGGGAGCCTGCTCCTGCATATCGGAGGGGCCAGCTGACACTCCCCCCC